CCATGGTCTCACTGTCACAGATATTATGTTTAAATGTATGAATATTGTACATATATACATATCCTACAGATAAGATTCTATCTACACATATATCAATATACATTGTTTGTAAATATAATTTAAGTATATAGGATTTATCTTGATCATAATGTGGGATCTTTTTAATAATTTGGTGAATTCAGTTGTAGCTTATATCACTCATTTCCTACATAGTGCCAAGTAATGTTCCATGTTAGAATGCTACGATTGTTAAACCATCCAGCTGTTGAAGGACACATGGGTTGTTTCAAGTTTTCAACTACTATAAAGAAAGCTACCTATAAAGATTGTGCACAGGTTTTTGTATAAACATATGTCCTCATTTCTTTAGGATAGAGGTCCAGCAGAGTAATCTCTGGGTCTTAAGGCATGGTCATGTTTGTTTTATCCACAGACATCCAGAATCACACCAGAAAGTGTTATCATTTTTGTTCCAACCATCAAATATAATTTAGGAAACTCAAAAAGAAAAGGAGTCTCAATTTTTTTGCTGATGTTTTTGGTTTCCATGACACTTCTTCCGTTCTAATATTCCACGCTCTCTTCTTTTTATCATTCCTTTCTGTCTAGAGAACTCACCCTAGCACCCATTTAGAGTATATTAATGATAGGCTGTTTTCATTTTCTTTCACTTGGGAATGTGTTGACTTCCTGCCTTTATTCCTGAAAGCTGTTTCCACTGAATATATGATTCTAGTTCACAGTTCTTTATCTTAGCACTTGAAAAAGAGAAGTTAAGTCACTTATTTTTGGCCTTTGACTAGAAATCTACTGACATTTGAATTTTCCCCTTATGGGTAAGGTGTTATTTTCCCTGCCTGCTTTCAATATTTTCTTCTCTGTTTCTAGTTTTGAGAAGTTTATGATATGTGTTGGTTTGGATTTCCTTGGCTTTATTCTGTTCCAATGTGGCTTAACTTCTTGAATCTGTAGGCTTATATTTCACCGAGTTTGGAGTGTGTTCAGCCATTATTTCTTAAAGCACATTTCTCAGCCTTCCTTGTATCTCCTCTCCCTGTGGGACAATGCTGACACAAATGTTGCAGTCCCACAGGCTTTATTGTTGAGGCTTTACCCGCTTCTGCTCATTGTACCTTCCCTCTGTTATTTAGATTGGGTGTTTTCTAGTTTTATGTCTTCTAGATCACTGATTTCTTTGTCTCTTTCGTTTTGTTGTTGAGTCTGTCCACTGTATTTTTGTATTGCAGTTATTGTATTTTTTTCAGTTTTTGAATTTTTCCATTTTTATTCCTTTTTATATATTCTGTTTCTTTGTACATATGTTATATTTATTCATTTATTCCAAGTATGTTTGTAATTGCTTACAGAAACATTTATGATGGCTGTTTCATTATCCATCTTTTCAAATAATTCCAAAATCTATCCTCGCAGTGCTGGCATCTGTTCATGTTTATTCAGTTTGAGATCTCTTTGGTTCTGATCAAAACTCAATATTTCTGGATTTATAAGACTATAATTCTTATTTAAGTCTGTTTTAGCTTATAATTGGACACCTCTATCTATTCTAAATCCATTTAAAAAACAAGGCCAAAAGTTTCAATATGTATGTGTTTCATTTGCTAAAGTTTTAAAAAATACTTTATTATTTTTATTTTATGTGTATGAATGTATTGTCTGAATGTATGTAGGTGCTCCCATGTTGTGAAATGCCCATGGAGGTCAGAAAAGGGCATCAAATTCCCCTGGAACTAGAGTTACAGATGGTTGTTAGTCACCATGTGGGTGCTCGGAATCGAACCTGGATCCTCTGCAAGAGCAACCAATGCTCTAAACTACTGAGCCAACTCTCCAGCCCCCTAATACAATGTTTTGTTTCAGATTTTTGCATTTTGGTTCATGTATGATCCTGACTTAAACTCTTCCCCTGTAATATTTTTCTTAAATTTTTATTCATTTTTTTAGCTGATGCGGATAAATCATAAAATTGCATATATTAATGAGGCACTATGCTATGTTTTGATGTATGTATACACTGCATGATGTTTATATCAAGTTAAGTGTATTTATCTCCTTAAAAAATTATCATTTCTGGATTGTAAAAACTTAAAATCCCTTCTTTCTAAACTTTTGAAATATGTGTACATTATTATCTGTTATCACTATACTCTTTGTTAATAGCATACCCAAACTTTCTGTTCTTGTCCAACTGTGATTCAGTACCACTGATATTCCCCATCTAGCCTTCATTTTTTTTTTTTTGGTCTTTTTGAGACAGGGTCTCCCCATAGCCCTAGCTGGTCTGGAACTTACTTTGTAAACCAGGCTGGCCTCAAACTCACAGAAATCCACCTGCTTCTGCCTCCCAAGTGCTAGGACTAAAGATGTGCATCACCACACCTGGCTAGTGTTCTTACATTCCCCAGACTTTGTTGACCACCATTCTGTTCTCAACGTCTATGAAATGAAACATTTTAGATTCCACATGTATGGTGATCATAGGATAGTTCTATTTTTAATTCTTGGGGAATCTCCATTTTCCATAATTTACAGTTCCATGGACAGAGTGCAAGGGTTCATTCCCTTTTGTCTGCATCCTTGCTAGAACTTTTATCTTTCTTTTCTTTTCTTTTCTTTTTTTTTTTTTTTTTGATAATAGCTCTTCATGCTAGGGTGAATGGACTGCCGGGGTGCTTGGTTCCCTCCAATATATTTCATTCCATCCTCATGTTTACCACATCTTGGCTATAAGAAAGCTCATGGAGACCTGAGACTTATGTTATAGCATGGGGCACAGAAGAACACAACACAGTGCTGTTTGAATTAAAAGTCCTTCCTAAATTAGCTGGTGGTCAAGGGTGAGCTTGACCTGGAGGAGAGGTAGGATAAAGTTTATAAAGTCTAAAACCATCATGCCAGGGGCAAAGCCAATAACCATGTATACCAGGGGCAGGTCAGTTAACAAAGAAGTTTTTAGTTAACAAAAAGTTTTTAATTTTCGGTTAGGAAAAACAAGTTTCTCAGAATTGCAGAAACAATGGACTCCCTGGGGCTGCAGGTATAGATAGGAAAGAATGTTCTCTGACTAAATGTAGGTTTCCTAGTATTATAGAAATAAAGCACTCCTTGAAACTACAGGTGTAGCCTACATGGGACTGTTCTGCCTGGCGGCAGTTAGCGAAAGCAGGGGGAGAAGCTGGGCAGAAACAGAAGGTGAGCAAAAATCAGCTAGAATAAAATGGAGTTTTGTCATTTCACTTAAATATACAATCTAGGCAAGGAAAGGTAGGAAATAGTGGTGTTGATCTCTTCCCAGACACCTTTGAGTATATTTTCTCTTAAATCTCTCAATCACATGGCTGTTGGCCACAGTGAAGACTGGGAAAGTGAATGTTCAGGGATAGGGTCAGCATTATCATTAGGAAAAGGGACATACTTAGACTGAATCCTTGGTATGATGATCTGGGCTAGTATAATCCATTCATGAATACTTTGTTCTTTGCTGACTACCTCAATATAGTTAGTATTTGAGGTGCTCTAAAAATGGTCTGAAATTAAATTTGAATGGTACGTTCTTTTTTTCTTGCTAAATCTGACAGCTTTAGGAGTTATGTATATTCTCACCCTGAAAAAAAAATGGGGTTTTAGAATTATTAAGGAAGAAATAGGTAACTATTTGGTAGGCAAATATGAATAACTATCACAGAGGAATCCAAGTTTATCAAGAAAGATGCCAGTTCTGCTCCCTCTGACAGTATCTCTGTAATATATCATAGAAATTTTCCAGAAGGGAAGTTGAGTTGCAAATTAGGCAGTGCCTTAGGATACAGTTTTGTTAAAGATGTAGACACATCAGGGCTGGAGAGATGGCTCAGTGGTTAAGTGCAATGGCTGTTCTTGCAGAGGACCTAGCACTCACATGGCAGCTGACAGCCATCCATAACTCCAGTTCCAGGGATCCAACCACGCCCTCTTCCTGTCCTCCAAGGGCATTGCACAACACAGTGTACTTACATACTTGCAGGCAATGCACTCATACACATAAAATAAAAATAAAAAATAATTAATAAAATATTTTTAGGAAGATGTAGATAGTGTTCAAATGTGTATGTGCCATAAAATCCAAGACTACATGGGGTTGTAATGTAGTGATAGCATCTTTGCAGGTAGCTAAGAACATTCTTAGATATTATTTACTCCAGATCATTCACACAAAATTAAAATTCTTTTGAGATTTCTAGGATTTTACTAAATCCTTCAAAATTCAAAAACTTATTAGCTGTTGTTTTGTTTCAATGTAGGAATTTACTCACAAAGTTCACTTGTCTTCAGGAACATGAAAGTTAGGAAAAACAGGTTTTACTGGTGAATCTGTATTCAAGACACCTTGGGGCTAGTCATGGTTCAATCTGCAGAAGTGGAAGAGCAAAGTCCAAAATGAGCAACAGGGTAGGAGAGTGCAGAAGTCAAGGCAAGAACTTTTGTTTTTGTTTGTTTGTTTTTTAATAGGCTTGTTTTTTTATTTATTATTTTTATTTTATGTGTAGAAGTGTTATGCCTGCATGTAAGTAAGTGCACCCATGTTGTGCAATGCCCACAGAGGACAGAAGAGGCTGTTGGATCCCCTGGAACTGGAGTTACAGACAGTTGTTAGCTGACATGTGGGTTCTGGGATTCGAACCCAGGTCTTCCATAAAAACAGTGTTCTTAACTACTGAGCTATCTCTTCAGCCCCAGAACTTTTGCTTTTTAAAGATTTATTTATTTTATGCGTGTATATGAGTGTATGGGATGAATGTGTGTATACCACTTGCATGCATGGCACCCATGGAGGCCAGAAGAGGGCATTAGATCCCCTGTAGCTGAAGTTTCAGGCAAATGTGAACTGCCTGATGTGGGTCCTCTGGAAGAGCGGGAAGTGCTCTTAACCACTAAGCCATCTCTCCAACCCCAAGGCAAAAACTTGTTGGCTTATGATGGGGTCTGCATATAGTATGGTACACTGGGCAGTGGAAGGGAGAAATACAAATTAAGGGGAGGCTCACTGGAAGCCAGGGAAATCAGAGCGGAGCTAACACTGGGCCAGATGCATTAAACAAATTCCTTGTGTGGGGGCAAGGGTTTCAGTGCTCTGAAATTCTGACTACTTTAAAAAAGATAGTTGAAAATATTCCTTATAGCTCAACTTGAGGTGATTGGCGAAAACTGAATCCTAAAAATTAGATTCTAAATTGTGTATTGATGAAGTTTCCTAGGACGCTGTTCTTGACAATATTAGCCAGTTCTTTCCAAGACAGCTGTTACAGAACTGACAGAAAAGGGGGTTGAGTTGAAGGACTTGAGATGAAAGGAGCCTCACTTCTTTTCATTCAGCTACTACCCATTTCAATGAATTATTCGTTTTCTTTCTTGGTAAAAATAATGTAAGGATTTTTCTCCTCTGAGAACACCAGGCTTGGAGTGTTTGCAAAGGATAGTTGAATTTGCTGTCAGTTAGCAGGAAAGATGTGACTGAGAGATTTATCCAGCATGAATCTCCTCACCTCCATGCCATGGACTCAACATATTCTTCAAAAGTTGGCAGTTATAGATTTAATTAATTTCAAAAATAACCTTTATGGTATTAGTTACTTATAGCATTTTAATTTTGTAATCATCTTTTTAACAGCTACACAATAAAACAGATCATCGTATATGACTATATTAATTATCTTGTACATAAACTTGGGAATCTGGCTATTTAAAGGAGTCTTGAAGTAAACATTTTATAAGACATATTTTCCTCTCTGATTTTTCTGCTTTTAAAATTTGCCTTTTCATTTGGGCAGTTTGCATAAGGCGGATTGACCTTGTGTTCTGATGAAATGATTGTCCTACCATAGCTTTGGCTTTGAGTCACTGATCACAGAGGTTTCACAGGAAAGATGAGTGGTCAGCAGACAGTGGGTGACAGCCATTTGACTTTCAAGGTGCAACCCCATAGCTCCCACCAAGTGGCTCAGCCTCTTTTTCTAGAAGTAACTTTTCTTACCTCTATCCACAGCTCCTTTCACTCTACCTCAGAAACCACACCTGCTTCCACAAGAAGTGCAGGTGCCTCACAAGAAACAAAAAATCAAGGTACTCGTATTTCTAACTACAGAAAGAAAACTGTTCTGATGTGCAATATTGTCTGTGAGATTTTTTTGTAATATGCACGTATCATCGAGATGTCCTTAAGTATTATTTCAGCTGTCTAGGGTGCATTTTAGTTTATTATTGCTGTTATTATTATTCTTTGTAGTGCTATGGATCAAACCCAGGGCCTCCCACATGCTAGGCGAGTGCTTACCACTGAGCTACATAGCCAGCCCTTGATTTTAAAAGGGAAAATTCATGCACAAGTCAACTCCACCATGACACTATGAGTGGGGTCTAAAGTACTCAGACCCATTGCATTATTGTGAAATTAACAGGTAACAGATCAGCCTAGACTACCAGATGATCAGAGATCCAGGAATCTGGAAAACAGCTTTGCTTATTGTATAAGCTATGTCATTGTGAGGTTTTATTGCCTTTCATTGGTCTTTAAGCGTAGGCTGAAAAGACAAGACCTCCAACTTTACACAGAAAACCTTGATGGGATAAGAGGAAGGAGATCTGTATTTTTACGATTAGTCCCCATAGTACAATGTAATTCACTCTCCTGAAGATGTCCCTAGTTGGAAGGGGCTTGGCTTTTGTAGGTTGCTTTCTTATGCTTATGAGCCACTGACAGACTTGGGATGATTGAAACTTATCGCCACCACCAAAGGAGACAGCTGGCAGTGTCTTTTTCTGGCTTGCCCTGTGTGGTCATGAAAAAGGAGCTGAATTGGAGAGCAGCACTGAAGAAATTAACCCTTCTGTGTGTGCAGAGCACACTGCTACCTGCTCCCCGACACCTCCATCTTTAATGCCAAACCTTTCTCAAGGGATGTTCCATGTATTTTTAACACAGTTGGGCTGTTTCCCCTTAAGAAACCTGCATGCTGCTTCTGGAGCAGCATGTCATGTGACACCCCAGTTGCCATGGCAAATATTTGTGTTTCATGAGAAATGTGGGTAAAAAAAAAAAAAAAAAAAATCAATGCAAATAGCCAAATCCCAAGACAGACAGGCCTTCAGGCGGGTGCTTGGCCTGCACCATTATTGTTTCAAATTCAGCTGTTTAACAGGCTGTGAGAAGCCATGGGCTAATGCGCATTATGTAAACAGGCATAGGCACCTGTTTAGATTCTCACCCATGTGAGTGCTGAAAACCCTTGGTATTACAGAGGACAAATCTATAGACAATATGCATATTGCAGTTAGGTTTTAGCCAGGAAACAGCTTACCACCAAAGAAAAAATTTGAGTTTTGACATTTTTTTGTGAATGCCATTTAGCCCTGGTTTTAATTTCCTAATTTCCTATGTTGACTTTGCAAAGGTTTCCTCTACTGTTAGAAGCAGCAGCATTTAAAGGTTGTGCCCCATAGACTGGTATATTTCAGAACTGACTCTTCAGTGGTTTGTGGTCTGTGAACTGGGCATAGAAGTTAAAGGAGAGAAATCTGCAAGATGCTAGCTTCACGTAGAGCCTGTGCACATCCTCTACCAGGTGCCAGTGCCAGGCATGATAACATGTGAAGTCTTCTCTTACAAATGCTTCCCAGAATGTTCCCTGAAAGTGGAATTTAGCATCTGACTCTAGCTGTTTGTGTAAATATTTACTTTCTCAAACTCTTTCCTCAAAGCAAACAGGGCTTGACAAGCAGAGCATGGATATCTGGGGTGAGAAAGGTCTGATTATTAGCTCCTTGCCTATGTGGATAAGGGAACAGGCAGCCCAGCTGGGGAACGGGAGAAGAGGGAGACTTAGAGCCTTCTATTTGTTTTGTAAAACTGCCCATGAGAGTCATTTTGATGTAAACTGTGTCTCATTCTTCATTGTAGGGGAAAGGCAGAAGGTCAAGAGGACACTGTGACAGGAAGGTCTGTAATTTGTGTGACTAGTTGGAATTTGGGATCTGTCACCTGATGTCCCTTCCATTTGCTTAAGGGCAAAAGTATGGGAGGCCGCTTGACAGCTGGAGATGGCAACAAAAGTTCCTTTGCGCTTCCTTTATAAAAGAAATTTGATCATGGGCTTTAAAACAAACCTGTGGTTCACTTAAAGTGAAAAACCTGTCTTTGCCTCTGTCAGGACTGAATCGGGTCCCAGTCTTCAGTCCAAACAAATGATTCAGCATTCTCAAAATTTGGCTGAATCATGTATTCAAAGTTTTTCATCATTGAAAGGTATTTTTTTCACTTTTACATAAACATTTTTTCTATTTTTATTAAATTTTTGTGCATTTCATACAATGCTTCTTAATCATGCTTAGACCTTTTCCCCTACGTGCACTCACTTATGGCTCCCCCACCAGCTTTCATACATTCTGTCATATATGTTAAGGCCTATCGAGTCAAGTTTGTGTCCCCAAATGTCCCTCAGTGTGAGTTCATCAACTGGAGCCTGGTCAAGTGATCTTGTGTCACTCCCTTAAAGAAAACCAACTCTCCCCTACCCAGGAGTGATCAGTTGCCAATAGTTCCTCAGCTAAGGTTGGGGCCTCTTACTCATTTCCCCACTGCTATGGGGTGTTCGTCTGGTTTGAGTTTTCATGGATCTTGTGCATGCTGCCACCATTGCTGTAAGTTTATATGAACAGGTTCCTAGCTACCTGGAAAACTGTTTCCTTATGGTCATCTCCCACCCCTGGCTCTTACAGACTTCTGCCCCGTCTTTTGCAATGGTCCCTGAGCCATGGGTGGCAGAGGTTTAATATAGGAGTCCTATACAGGGACACCCACTCCACAATCTTATTCTCTACATTTTAGCCAGTGGCTTTCTGTGTTACTCACCATCTTCACTGATGAGAGTTGAGAGATGCATTAATATTCTCTCTGCCCCTTGTTCCTATGTTCCCTGAGCCTCAGGTATAGAGGTTGCATTATAGATGTGTCACTTAAGACTGGGCATCTCACAGATGTTTATTCTCTGTGTTTGACCAGTTGTTGAACTCTGTAATAGTCTCCATCTGTAGCAAAAAGAAGCTTTTTTGATGAGTGGTGAGAGGTATACTTGTATATAAGAATTTGGAACTAAGATCCACAAACAAGAGAGAACATATGTTCCTTGTTTTTCTGAGCCTGTGTTACTTCACTTAGTGTAACCGTTTCTAGTTCCATCCATTTACCTGCAAATTTCATGATTTTGTTTTTTTCTTTATTGCTGAGTAGAACTCCATTGTAAATGTCAACATCATAAATGTCATTGTAAAACTCCATTGTGTAAATGTCAAGTCTATTTGGAGTTGATTTTTGTGCAGGGTGATAAGTATGGGTCTAATTTCATTCTTCTACACAATTTTACCAGCACTATTTGTTGACAATGCTATCTTTCCTCCTGTATGTGTTCTTGACATCTTTGTCAAATATCAAGTGGCTGAAATTGCATGAACTCATGTTTGGGTTTTCTGTCTTGTTCCATTGATCCATATGCCTGTTTTAATGCCAATACCCTACTGTTTTTTTATGACTATAGCTCTGTAATATAGTTTGAGATGTGGTATGGTAATCCCCCCCCAGCATTGTTCTTTGTGCTCAGGATTGCTTTGGCTGGTTGGGATATTTTATGTTTCCATATGAATTTTAGGAATTTTTCCTAATTCTGTGAAGAATGTCATGGGGATTTTGATTGGGATTGCATTGAATCTATAAATTGCTTTTTATAGGATGGTTATTTCACAATATTAATTCTACTAATCTATGAGCAGAGGAGGTATTTTCATCTCCTTGTGTCTTCCTTAATCTCTTCAAAGATGTAGAATTTTCATCGTATAGGTCTTTAATGTCTTTGGTTAGGTTTATTCCTAGATATTTTTTTAAAGGCTATTGTGAATGGAAGTGTTTCCATGAACTCTTTCTCTGATTGGTTGTTATTTGTATATAAAAAGGCTACTGATTTTTGTAAATTGATTTTGTAACCTGCCACTTTGCTGAAAGTGTTGAATTTCTTGAAGTTTTCTGATGGAATTTTTGGGATCTCTTAGGTATAGTATTCTGCCTATCGTCTGCAAATAGGGATAATTTTATCTCTTCTTTTCCGATTAGTTCTCCTTTAATTTCCTTCTCTTGTCTTACTGTTCTAGCAAGAGTTTCAAGCACTACATTGAAAAGGAGTGGGGATAAACAGCCTTGTCTGGTTCCTGATTTTAATGGGAATACTTCCAGTTTTTTCTCCATTTAGAATGATTTTGACGGTGGGTTTGTTGTATTTTGCTTTAATTAGTTTGAGGAATATTCTCTCCAGTTCAATTTTCTCTAGGATTTTTAACATGAATTCATGTTGGATTTTGTCAAAGGCCTTTTCTACATCTATTAAGATGATCATGTGATTTTTGTCTTTAAGTTCATTCATATGATGTATTACATTTATTGACTTGTATATATTGAACCATTCCTACATTGCTGGAATAAAGGTAACTTGATCATTGTAGGTGATCTTTTTGATATGTTGTCTGTATGTGGTTTACAACTATTTTTGTTGAGAATTTTTGCATCTATGGTCATTAGGGATATGGACCTATAGTTTTTCCTTTTTTTGTTGTATCTTTACCTGGTTTGGGTATTAGAGTGATACTGACTTCATAGAAGGAGTTTGGGAGTTCTCTGTTAATGTTTTTTTGAATGATTTAGTATTGGTTGTAGATCTTCTTTGAGTGTCTGGTAGAATTCTGCTGTGAATCCATCTCAGCCTGGGCTTTTTTTTAGTTGGGAGGATTTGTATTACTGTTTTAATTTCCTTATTTGTTATGGGTCTGTTTAAATTGTTGGTCTCTTCTTGGTTTAAGTTTGATGGATTCATTGAATTTAGAAATTTGTCCATTTTCTTAGATTGTCAGATTTAACAGAGTATAAGGTTTTTAAAAGTATTTCCTTATAATATTCTGGATTTTTTTGAGGGTGTCTGTTGTGATGTTTCCCCTTTCATCTCTCATTTTGTTGATTTGAATTTGCTCTTTCTTTCCTTTGATTAGCTGGGCTAAGGGTCTGTCTATCTTGTTTATCTTTTCAAAGAACCTGCTCTTAGATTCATTGGCTCTTTGTATTGTTTTCTTTGTTTCTATTTCATTGATTTTTAGCTCTGATTTTTAAAAATTATTTCTTCTCATCTGTTGGGTTTGGGTTTGGCTTGTTCTTGCTTTCCCAAATTCTTGAGTTGTACCATTAAGTCATTTATTTGTGCTGTTTCTGGTTTGCTTTGTTTTGTTTTGTTGTTTCTTTGATAGGGTCTCCCTAGGCCCAACCCACCTGTCACTATATGTACCAGGCTGGCCTTGATTTCACAGAGATCTGCCTGCCCTCCACCTCCTGAGGGCTGGAATTAAAGACATGTGCCACCACACTTGGCTTCTGGTTTTTTATTGTAGGTGCTTAGAGCTATAAACTTCCCTCCTAGGACTGCTTTTAATATGTCCTAGAAGTTTTGTTGTGTTGTATCATCATTTTCATTTAGTTCCAGAAATACTTTTATTTCTTTCTTGATTTCTTCTTTGACTCATTCATCATTCAGGAGTGTGTTGTTTAATCTCTATGACTTCATGTAGTTACTAGAGTTTCTTTTGCTGTTGATTTTAAGTTTTATTGCATTATAGTATGATAGACTACATGGAATTATTTCAGTTTTTTGGTATTTGTTGAGGTTTATTTTGTGTTCCAGTATGTGGTCTATTTTAGGGAAACTTCCATGGGCTCCTGAGTAGATGTCTAGTCTTTGGTGCTTGGGTAGAATATTCTGTAAATGTCTGATAGGTCCATTTGATGTATGATATCATCTAATTAGATGTTTCTCTGTTTATTTTTTGTCCATTTGACCTGTCTATTGGAGAAAGTGGGGTATTGGAGTTCTGACTATTACTGAGTTGTGGTTAATCTATGTCTTAAAGTCCAGTAGCACTGATTTTTTTTTAAACTGGATGCATATATAGTGCATAAACTTGGTGCATATATATTGCATATAAATTTGGTGCATATATATTCATGATTGTTATGTCTTCTTGATTCTTTCATTCCTTGATCAGAATGTAGCAACCTTCTTCATCTTTTTTGATTAATTTTAACTTAAAGTCTATTTTGTCATATATTAGCATAGCAACTCCTGCTTGTTTCTTAGTGCCATTTGCTTGGAATATTTTTTTTTATCCTTTTGCCCTAAGATGGTACCTATCCTTGGAGGTAAGATGAGTTTCTGGTAGACAACAAATACATGGATTTTGTTTCTTAATCCATTCAGTTAGTCTGTGTCTTTGACTGAGTAGTTAAGGCCATTGATATTTAGAGTTATTATTGAAAAGTGTGTATTGCTCAGTGTAAATTTATTTTATGTTTGTGTGCTTAGTCTTATTTTGTGCTTTGGTACTTTATACCCTCTTTTATTTTCTTTCTGTAACCTCTTGAGTATGGTCATTTCTTTCTTCAATCCTTTATACTGCTTCTAGTATTTTCTGTAGGGCTGGTTTGATGGACATAAATTATTTTAGCCTCTTTGTATCATGGAAGATTTTTCTTTCCACTTTGACTATGATAGACACTTTTTCTGGGTAAAGTATTCTGGGCTGGCATCTATGGTCATTTAGAACTTAGAATACTTTGCCCCAGGCTGTTCTGGCTTTTATAGTTTGCATTGAAAATTCAGCTGTAATTTATATAAAGGTTTTTCTTTATATGTGTAATTTGTTTTTCTCTATCAGCTTTCAGTACTGTTTCTTTGTTCTGTACATTCAGTGTTTTTACAATGATATGCCAAGGGGAGTTTCTGTTCTAGTCCTCTCTAATTGGTGTTCTGTGTGCTTCTTGTATCTGCATAGGTATGTCTTAATTTATGGAATTTTTCTTCTCTAATCCTGTTGAATATCTGGTCAATGTCATGGACCTGAGATTCTTCTCCT